GAGGAGATCGGCTTCTTTGTTGATCCACTCTTCGATTTCTGAGAAGGAAACATCAAAGAGGTTGAGGGGAAGGCCGGCCAAGAACCCTACTCATGCAGGGATGTTCATAGCCGTGGCCAGGGCCAAGAGGGATAAAAAAACGCGAGGGAAATCCGCCCAGAGGGAGGGCCCCTCTGAAGAGCGGAGGATCCCCCGCTCCCGTGAGGCCAACAGAGGAGCAGCTCCGGCACCTCTTTTACAGGTCGCCATTGCAGGGGAAAAAACAACTGAACCCCCTGTCGGAAACGGTGCATCTGCTGGCAAATCCTCTAAGAAGAGGGGGAAGGTAGGTGGGGGGATGACGACTATCGGATCCGGGGCGTCCTCGAACGGCTCCTCCCCGTCTCCAGCAAATGGGACTGTCTTCCGCTGCCTAGGAAAGGGCTAAGAGAGAGGGCAGCCTAAGAGATTTACGTTTTTAATTTTATGACATAGTTTTATTTTATTTTTAACTATTTATACAGTTTGTCAATTTATGTTTTATGCTCGTAGCCCTTTTTCCTTTTTACTTATTTTGATTATTGAGCCTTATTACTTTTATAATTTGAGAAAAATGTTTTATACAAAAAGTTGTAGGGTTAAAAATGATCTATTGACTAATCTTATCAATTTGATCTTGTATGGCGCCACCAAGGTCAAGTCAAGGTCAAATCGATTTTTTTAAACGAAATACTCTATTTCTGATTTTAGAATCTAATAGCTGAGGTCAAGAGATATTTTTCCAAATCATTATAATAAAGCCTCTTTTAATCAGTAATTTTCAAGTAATGAGAGTTGAAATGCGACGGAATCGTCGCAGCATTAACATTACCTAAACTATACTACTCGTGTCCCTTTTAATGATGCGAGGATGGTGGGGGGGATAGGAGGTCTCCAAGCAACAAGACTTTTCAATCAATTTTTTAGAAATATAGACAATAGTATATCCAAATCAACTGTCATTCGTTTAAGATGTCATTCAGGGCTGTTTCCGCAGTGAGAGACCTGTACGCGCAGATAAGCTAAAGAGCAAGCTTCTTCTGTACCATGTACAAAGTCTGTCTGGCCTTTGCATTCCGCTCCACACGGGAGCGCCGTACATGATACAGGACATGACGGCGCCTGCGTACATTTTACGTACCGAGTCATCATTTAGATTGAACATTGGCCGTCCGCCATTTGGCCCATTCTATGCGATGCGAAATGCTCGCTGAAGCACCATCGAGCATCAAGGATGTGCCCCATTTGATCATGGGGGTCACTCTGACGCGAACCGTCCCTATTAGAATCCAGGAAAGAAAATCCAGGAAGAAAATCCAGGAAGCTTCCCGCAACTTCCCGTTATGGAAAAACATACATTCTGTTTTTCGGGGAGACATCTCCAGTCCTAGGTTTATCACCGAGCCCACGCTCGTACGACACGCGTTGCTCACCGCGTTCCCCCAGTCCCGCCCCCTCCCCCCGCCGCGAGCACTAGTATGTCATTCGTGTAATACATAATCCTGGCTCCCAGCGGGAAGGCGGTGCGAAGGACGAAGCTAAGTCTTAGATTAAGGGCCCCAAGATTCCTGAGGGGCCCTCGCAATTACTATTGTTCTTATCCGTAAATTCTAATTTCCTCTCCTGAAAGTAATCTTCAATCACGGCCAGGTAAGTACATCCTTTCAGATTTACGTGTGATACTTGCAGAAAACTTAACTCACACTGCTCCCATGGGCCTGGGATTGGAAAACGTCCAATTGACGCATCACGGCTATGCTGAGACTTCCAGTGCGCTTGCGGGATATAGGTCCCAACAAGCAACTCAGCAACTCTGGTTGGAGACAATCCTTTTGAAGAGTTTGTCCGCCTCGTCCAGCAAGCAGATTGAATGATAGTCCGCCGGAGAGTCCGCAGATCTGCCTTCCTTCTTCAGGACGAGTCTGCCACTCTTCTATGATCGAGGGAACTGGCCGCATCTGAGGCACTCCGTGTAGAGATG